ATGAAGTGCTTACTGTTATCTTTATAATTAAACATAATCACAAAGGCCATGTTTCTCAAATATATTGTCAATAGACTATGCATTGAAAATGAGAGTAAATCTCCACTCTTTTGGTATCAACATCCTTGACTCTCTTTAGCTGTGATTCAATAGCACTCAAGGTGATGAATGTTGGTCTGCTGTGGTCTCACTCAATCCTCCAACCCTGGCTGCCTGCCCTACCTCTAAGTGATGCTGAATCAGTTCAACCCAATAAGCTGGCAGGCAACATAAACAGTTTCCTACCATCTTAGCAAGTTACAGTTACTTGAAATACAGTAAATGAGCAGCAGAGTCAGCACAGAGAAACACCTTGGTATGCACAGTCAAGAGTTCAGAGGGATGGAGTAAAAGCATGCAGTAAACAGCAGCCTAGTCTCGAACACCATGAAGCAGAGTCTTAAGACACATGAGCATTTTACTACTGCCTCTAAATATTAGACTTGCAGTCTTCCTTAAAGACACAAAATTATTAAGTATTTAAGACTCTGAATTGTCATTCACACTATTATTTTTTACATTTTTTTTAGTGCTATCATTACAAATATTTAAACAAACAAAACCATATTATAGACTGCACCACTTCAGGAAACACATTACTCCCTAACAAGAAAATTAAGGAGCAAGCCTCTTGAAACTAAAATGCATATACACCTGGTCTTGCTGCTAAGTTCAAACTAACCAGTGTAATAAGTCTCAGAGTTGAAGTTTCATCACTGCTAACGGTCAAGTGCCAGTAGAACAGAGGAAAAGTAATTACTTTCAGTGCTAACACAAAGGTTGTATGATACTTCAGCTGTACTTTGCTGTGACTGCTCTAACTCAAGACATAACAGCTGATATATACTTGAAGTAACACAACAATCTTAAAAAGCTCTAAGGAAGGCAGCAGAGTATTACATTTGTTTTGCCATCACCATTTTTATCATGAGATAACATACGTTTTCAATATGCTTCTGGAGTATGGCACACTGTCCACATTATTTCCCATAGTACAGAGAGAGAGGAAATGTGGTTGACAGCTGTCACCTCAGAGCTTTATGCTTCAGAACTTACTGCTGCAGTTAATTGATAAAAATCACATTCAGCTCACCTTTGTGGAAAAGGAGAAAAGAAGAACTTTATCTTTGTTTTTTCGGAAGTGATTTAAAAGCTGCTGAAGGACCTGTAAAATGAACCACAGAATATAAATAAAAGGATTTTACCTACAGGTCATCTCACACACACTTACCTGTGTATTCAACCTTTAAACAGGCAACACTGTAATTAATTGTTTGCAAAGTCAAAACAGAGGCATAGCAAAAAACATTACTACCGTAATAAATGTGCCAAAGGTAATGCAGATGCTGGACCTATGCATTTTTCAGCGATCTGCATGGAAATCCTGCTGTAGAAAGGCAATCATACTACTGAAAGGTAAATTCAGAAGCTATTTGTGTCTGTGCATAGACTGCAACAAAATGTGACTTATCTCATGCGCTAGTTTAGCTCGTGAATGTTTGCATTTAACAAATGCACACAGTTCCCCTAAAAACACAAAGGTCTTGTTTAAGTTTTCTGTACTACATTTGAGTTCAGAACTTCTTGGAACTTGTCTTCTTAAAATAATCAGTGAGATGTATGCCCCTCCCTGCTCCCATTCTTGTCTGCTGCTCTGTTTACAGTAGGATCCCAGCTTCCCAGACTGCACAGAGCTTGAAATGCCAATAATCCGCCCACACACAATGTTCTTCTGGTGAGGAAGCAAATAATCCAGAGACTTGTGCATAACAGTGATACTGTTATTTTCAAAAGAAGCATGTCCACATCTGGCAATGGCAGCTCCAGAGCATTGTGCAGAAGCAATACACAAAGGGTAAAGAGGAATCTTCTGTACAACGTCTGTAGCTTTCTCCCACTGGGCAATAAATATTTAAAAAAATCATATTTATTCAGTGATAAATACATAAACTGTTAATCAATACTTATTTCACTAGAAGCTTAACAAATCTTTATCAACCAAATAATGATGAATGTTTATATTAATTTACAGCTCTGGATAATATCTAGAACATAAAATATTAATTAAACATCACTTATAAGTCCTTTTGTATGTGTTAGCTGGTTAGTTAAAACAAAACAAGGTATAAACAACAATTTTTGCCTGGTTTCACTGTACAAGAACATATAAACCAAGATTTACTTTATTGGAAAAAAATTCACATCAGGTAATCTACCAAGAGCTAAATGAGAAGTAAATTCTATGGTTGCACACCAGAGTATTATCTGAAAATTTTTAGTCTGAAAAATAAACACTTGATCATACTCAAGCAAAACTAACATGCTCTTTGTAAGAATCCACATGGATATAAATGTGTATCTCATTAGTACACATTGTGAGCTGTCTGACTGTGATGAAATTTTACCTCTCATATTTGAGAAGACCTCGCCTGTATACATACGTCCAAGTTAGCCTACAGTGTTTATAAAGCCTTCAAAACCATGCCTGCCTTGGTTAGGGTTACGTTTAATGGTGGAAGTTACTATTATTTGCAAGGTGCTCTGATAGACTTCATTTTTCCTACTGAAATAATGATAATATGCCAGGCAAAATAAAGAAATCAATCAAATATAGTCATTCATAAGAAATTTATATTAATTAAGAACAAAATTCTGAAACTCCACAAATGTCTGTGGAAATATTATACATGTAGTTAAAAAAAAAAAGTTACTTAAGTGCCCTTCTCACTTAGAAAGCACATAGAGTGTCTCTGAGCCCAAATTCTAACAAAACTGTAAAAATAATCAGACAAGGTAGTAATGAGAATTACTGCAGGCTTTTAAAACTACCCTCATTCACCTTCTTTTCCAAGCAGTCCCCAATGCTTCTGTGTGGACAATGTGCAATCCTTGTGTTTCAAAAGCAATGGAATCACTTGTCCTTACACTCTGCAGATCTCTACCATCTTACTTCATGATAGAAAAATGGCGGTTTCCAAACAAGGCACCACACTCCTTTCATTTCAATTCTCACATATTCAACTATTTCAAGTTAAAAATCCAGGCATGAAATTCACCTTGCAATAGAAAGCGTAAGTAAAGTCTCTGAAAACTATATATTCTGCAGTACGATTGAAAATGAGGGAATCATTCCACAAAAAAAGGTGAAGCTCCGACCATGTCACTGTGTATTACCCACCTCCCACTGTAACAAGGACATATTAGAGTCATGGGTATACCATCAATGTTTATGCATATACTTTTGGACTATAGGGACTGTTTTTTCCAGGCTTGTGTTATAACCTTAAATTCAAAGCAGAAAACCTGGGGTGGCAAGTTGTAAATGCTGCAGCTTGCAAAACATGCAGAGAGGACTGCAGCCACAGCACAAGGTAGGACACAAACACCAGTATGGCCCTCCCTCACACTTATGATCAAGAAATTCTAGTTTTACTGGTAGCAGTAGGCATATTCCATAGTACAAAAGGTATGTTTCGCACTGTGTTTCATCTCTGCTTGGTTCGAGAACAGAATATACTTTAAGCAGACAGGTTAACATTTTCAACTCTGCCAAGCAGTTACAACTGCATAGCTAATAAACTTCATAGACAAATTCCAGCCTTTCCCCCACTGCCCTGGAAAAATGTAAATAAATGCCACAAACTTTTCCTTTACAAATATACTCATCTACAAAAAGAAAAATTACCTGTGACAAAAATTCTGGGTAGTCCTTTAAATAAAAATTACATACAGGCTAAGTAATACCCATTCAGTCTATACTACCAGACGAAAGTTACTGAAGTATTTCAATTAGTTTCTACAATTTATTTATAAAATAGAAACTGTAAAGTACTACAGTGGGACAAGGCTATTAGAAACATTTTACTGTCATTTGTCTCATTTATTTCCAACTAAACATGTTAAAAATACATAAGGTAGTTTTCAAGCTCTAGTATCTCTAGTATTTGACCCTCCCCTGATTACTTTCTGATGGTAAGACAACCTAAATGAAAGACCTTCGGAATGACTTTGCTTCCACAGCATAAAACCCAAAAACATCCCAAACAGCTTCTGTTTGAAAATCGTGAATAGAAAACAAAAAACGTTAGCCAATCTTTTCAGACAAGACAAAGCTCCAATGCAATCAGCAGGGGGGGGTGGTTAGGGTAGGGGGGGCAGGGAGGAAGCCACCACAACACGTGACACATGTGAACCAATTTCTGGCATTCTAATAAGTCTCTAGTGAGATAGAATCAAGATAAGCATTAGATGATCCACTAGCAATAAGAAGAAATGCAGGAGTAATCACCATACTTGCAGGTCACTATTTTTAATCACATATTTCTCATTGTCCTATTCTTTGGGCAATTTATCCAGAAATGTAAATTGGTCTGGCACTTATCTACTGGCAGCTCAGAGATGCATTTTTCTAACCATGTAGATCTCCTCAACATCAAAAAATAAACATTCAACCTGACTAACATTTCATCAGTATCAAGCCATCAGCACAAGCTGAGTATATTCATGAAGATCACAGCCTCTGCTCTCTCGTCACCTGAGCACTCTTACTCTGCTCTCTCACCACTCTTACTCCTGCACTGTAATAGCAGAACCTTCATCCTTAACAGCCCAGGCCACTGCACACAAGCATGAGAAGAGCCTTACTGCTTCCAGTAGTTACACCCAACCCACACAGCCATAGCCAGCTGCACCCGTGAGCAGACGCTGAAGTCTATGCTGTCCCAGAAGCAACCCAGATTTAGAGACACGGTTTAGAACAGATTCCTCCCCACAAGCAGCTCTGTAAGCTGAAGGTTTTAAAGGCACATAATATTGAAATCTCTGCCTGAACTCAGGCATTTTTGCTTGTCTGTGTTATTCACTACTGTGTCAAAAAAGACACAACAAAAATGTCATCATGCAGTACAGGAGTGAAGTATCCAATAGCCCCAAGAGACAAATTCCTAGAGAGAGGAAATCAGTGTTAACCAATAAAAGAGCTTCATATGCACCACTGAAGATCATGGACTTAGTTTTTACAGGTATGTATTAAATATTTGCTGGTAGCTAATTCAACAATAAAACTGACTTTCACGAGATAATTAAGTATCTATAACAAAGCTAATATGCAGGCCTCTCACCTGTATGTAATATCAGAAAAGAAAGATGTTGCTCACATAATAACAAACCAATAAAGTGATAACCATTACTGTTACAAAAATGTGGCCCTGGCACTGCCTCCCTGCCACTCCCAACCAGCAAACTGAATAAACAAGGCTTGCAGAGAGAAAAAATACAGTACACTCCATCCTGTACAGCTTCTCCCCCTCCAGTTACTCCCAGCTCAGGAACACTCGGAGCACTCCTAAGCCTAGTTTAGGTTTTTTTTTAATTAGCTGCCTTAGACATATTTTTCAGTTACTCATCCTGTTCGCCTCTGAAACCAGACAAAGCCACAGTTTCTCAGGTAAGGAGTTTTATGGATTTGCACTTAACATGTTTATTTTGTTCATCTTTAGTGTGGCTCCCATTAGCTTCATTTGATGTCCAAAGGGTCAGAAAAGACAGTAAACACTCAGTACCTCTTCAGCAGTTCCATGATACTCCTGATGGTGTAGGTCCCTCTCACATTCATTCTAAGAATTTTTTTGCAGGCTGGAGAGTCCCAGTCTACTTGGTTGCTTCTGTCCCACAATACTGATCACCCCTGTGGCCATTCTCTGAACCTTTTCAGGGTCTAACATACGCATTCTGAGAGGAGTGACTGGAACTACCCACAATATTGAAGGCATGCACAAATCATTAAATCCATAATCAATTTGTTTTGCTGTCTTTTACTTTCCCAAATACTTCCCACTGCCACTGAGTTTCATGGAACTATCTGTCATAATATTATGACCCCAACCCCCTTGATTCTAAGGGTGATTTCCATGCCCATCAGTAAATACATGAAGCTAACATCTTAGGATATCTGAGCATTACAGATCATCTGACCCATGACAGAAGATACCTGCTATGGGACCACCACCATAAACAGAATGATTTAAGACCCACAACTATTAAGTGTACATTTTTCCATATCTGGATACTACAGCAACAGATCTATTACTATGACTAATACTTATCTTACTGTTCTTCTAAAGAACACGTTTACCTTCATTTTTCCACTGTACTTTGGATCTGAAATTGTTTCAAAGGCTGCATCTTTGCTTAACTGCACAAAATCTGGAAAACTGGAAAACACCTGGTTGCACACCCGTTTGATATGTGCTTCCTGGAAGAAAAGCGGAAAGTTTGAACAGGTATTAAAAATTAGAGCTACACTCGGATACCTGTAAGCCATACAAGGAGTTAAACAGGTTGACACAAGTGATCTGCCAAAATAGCTCAAGCAAGAGAGTTATGTGGTTTTCTTCAGTTCACTACAGAAGTGATGTACAAAACATCTCCTGTGTGTTTTTGTTTGCTTTCAAAAAAAGAAAAAAAAGAAAAAAAAGAA